GGTTCACACACACACACACACCCGCCCAAACAGCAAAAACAAAACACCCGAAAAGCCCAAACAACGAAAAAGACCAGACAACAAAACAACAAACACTTTTACCAACCCCATAGTCCTTACAGTGAACTCTTCCAGTTGGACCGATGAGACCCTGAGGCGGTCACAGCACACAAAGTGCGTCCGGCATGCCGTTCCAGCGCCAAGCTCAGAAGCTTTCAGGTTTGCTAAGTCCGTGATTCCCCTTCTTGGGGGTCCCTAGACTAGACCAGCAGGCTGGATGTTGGGGATGTTGGCGGGTTTAGGGTGTAGGGTTATGTTTGGGGGAGGGGATTATACAAGGGACCTGCAATAGACTTATCCGAACATGAAGCAGCTGCTGCCAAGGTCCTGCCGACAGAAATCGGCTCATCCCTGACTCTGTCACTTCCAGAGGTTCCTTCAGACCAACCTGCTTTGGCAGCTTGAAAGATTTGGGGATATATAGGGATACATGGGGACCATACAGGGGTATGTAGGGTGGGGTTTAAGGGTTTTGGGATATGACCCTCAAGAATAAGAATGAAGAATCAAATGGAAGCGAACATGGAAAATGAAATGGAGACCCTGGGGCCCTTTAAGGGGTCTATAGGGATATTAACGCCCAACAAGGGAAAAACAAATGGACAAGAACATGGGGCATGACATGGAAACTGGGTTTTATAAGGGTTTATAGGGATTGGGGTTTCCCAAAATTGGGGGGGTACCTTTTGAGGGGGTCCCCATAATGAGGATTATGTTATTTGGGAGTCTATATTAGTTTCCCCTTATTTTGGGAAACTACCATTTTCCTCTGGAGGACACAGGAAAGGGTCTCACAATTGATGTTCCCATGGATTCCGGTATGGTCGGAACGCAAGCATCACTTCATGTGAGCGTAGACCTTCGTGGCTTTGCTGTGACGCTCTTCCGCTAAGGTAATAGGTGCCCTGGCACTGGCAATCGTGTGCCATGAGGCCGGAGTGATTGAGTTGTTTGCTGCAGATATGGCCTGTGATGCAGTGCAAGTTGTTTCGAGGCAGGAAAGCAGCAGGGAAGCAGGTCTAAGTAGTCGAAATGGTTGGGCATAAGATTGCATGAGCATTCCCAGGAAGGGTAGGCATGCTCATGCAAATAGCCAAGGCTGGCCATTTCCTGTGCCTGCGGAGCATCGGGCTTCCTGCAGCCGAGTTCGCCTTGGGCTTTGGCCCCCAGGCATTGGGCTGACCATTCGCTCTTACTCATGCCTCACGATTGAGATGGAAGGTCAGTGTACAGTCCTGTAGCAAATCCGGCAGAGCGCTTGAGTGCCCTTCCAATCCTGAAAGCGCGAGTTGATAACATTGAGCTTGACATGCCGTCGGTATGCTGTCAACATTTCCCTGTTAGGTGATGAACTTCGGACGCAGCCCAGATGGAACGGAGTTTGTCCTGAGAGCCTTCCCAGTAGGCGGCTATGTGGCTCAACTCAAGACTGGATGGAGTATCGCTTTGACTACAAGCTGCCACTTGAACGGTAACTTCATTTGCATGGTTAACCGTGAGCTTGAGTGGTACATGCACGTCGTTTCAGGTACGGTTTGAAGATGAGAAGGTTGTGCAGCTCGAAGACGGTCGCATGGTCGGCTCCCTGGTACAGCTGCCTTAGGCTTGTTTCGAAGATCCTTAATAAAAGTCGGAAATCTCCTTCTGCTACTTCTATTCTACCCAAATCACAAAATGGTATCCATCTTCTCTGCCTTTCCCTACTATAAGCCCCCAGACCCTAATCCCTAAACCCTAAACCCCTTATGAGTCCGAGGGGTTGAAAAAAACCCTTATGAACTTGTTTGCGGGCTGTTCTTCATTCGTGACAGTGGCTGTTACTCAGCGGCACAGGGGCGCCTTTGGCATCTCCAGCTTGAGAACTTTAGGGTTTAGAGTTTAGGGGTTTAGGATTTGGGGCTTAGGGTCTAGAGTTTAATTGGTGCTTGTCTGTTGCGTGCAGCCTTCCGCACATGTGAGCCATATTGGGTTATTCCAGAACTCGTTAAAGGGGATTATAGAAGGCATTATGTAGGGGACCGCCAGGGGTTATAAGAGGGATACTGGGAGTTACTAGGAGTTCCGAGTATGGCTCACATGTACATGTTTAAATGGGCTTTTCAGCTGTTTTTCCCAATCGAATCTGGTGCTTGTTGAGTCGGGTCAAGCTGCTGCACCAGGTCACTGAATTCGACGCGCGGTCTGCTGTGGAGCGAATTTGGGTTCTTTCTGGCGGTGTTTTGGCAAATATTGCTGTTGTGCCCTGGCTGTCCAACAGAATGTGTCTACATCACATGCCCGCATGCTAAAGTGGACTTCGTGAAGCATCAGCTTTTGAAGGCGTGGTCATCGTTGGCAGCTGGAGCCATGCTAGCCGGAGTTCCCACAAAGGATTTCCTACCCGGAATCCGCATCCAGGCGGCTGTTTAGCCACGCACCCACTGTGCTTTGGTGTAGCAAGAGGCATGCTGGGGAGGAGACAGGTGTAGAAGAAACAGATGCAAAGAAAAGGTCCGCTGGAAGGAAAGCTGGGCTCGTTCACTGGGTAGGTGGAAAGCGTTCCGAAAGAGCAGTGAAGACAGCACGCAGCAGAAACAATAAAAGAAACAGGCTTCCAAAATGGTTCTGACCCACATGAATGTTTTACAAAACTGTAGCGCATCCGTGGAGGGCCAGCTGCGGAAGCCAGATTGCGTTGCCCTTTCCCCCCTCATGTCGATGTTGCAACGTCCAAATCAAAAAGTAGCCACATGTCCATCTACAAGATTGAAAGTACTGGTGAAGGAAGAATGGGGAAAACCACAAAGCTATAAACGATTAAAGCATGATTGCGCAATTTTGCGCAGACTCGACAAGGCTCCTGCATTTTTGACACGACATGACGTTACTTGATTGATTCTGTAATAGCAGGGATTACAGAAAACAAATAGGGTAATAGAAACAAGCTTAACATTTTTTTCGCAAAAAAACATTCTGTTTCATTCCTTAATTCATTCCCATTATCTTTGTTGTTACTTGCTAAGCAAACTATTAGGACATGAATTAAACAATTAAAAAGACTGGTTGCGAAGCTGCTTCCTGAAGCATTCGCGCCTGAATTTCAAGAAAGGCAACAATGAACAACAACGCCCTCGCAATCGCCTACAATGGCAATTTCTAGCTGGCCAGTTTACCTTTTGACAGAAATATCGTCCAGTCCGTACCTACCTGATGACTTTGTGTGCGACCCCTTTAGTTTCGCTCTGCAATTGGTCAGGTCATGTCAGGTCTGTCCTACAACCGGAAATATGCCAAAGTCCAAAGTCTCCTGTAAGGATGGGGCTTCAATTCTGTAGCTTCTGAGGAACTTCATCCCTGCCACGCCTGGCTTGACGTTAAGTTCCTCTCTAGGGCTGGTGAGAGCACGCGTTCGTGACAGGCTGTGGATGAGGAGGCTTTCTCGCGGACCGGATTGAAGGCTGCAGATGTGCTCCTTCGCATTGGAGGAAGCTCCGGCTTAGTTTCGAGGTGCTCAAAGCCTAGCCTACAGAGTTGAGGTTGAGCCTCCACAGATTATATAGGGGTTGTATAGGGATTATAGGGTATATATTAGGGTTATATAGGGATAATGGAAAAGAAAATGGAAACTACCATATTTTAGGCGGGATTTCTGACACTTGGTGCGAAGCGTGGCTCTTTTGTGTGACCAAGCTGCCTGGCAGGATTGGACCTGAATTTCTCCGGTGCGGAAGTGCGCCGTACTCTCGGAGAGCCATAGCATGCTCCTATGTGCGCCATAGTCTAAAGTCCCAGAATCCCCCTTAGTACCTATCCCATATGGCTACCGCTCAATATGAAAGGTGCGGAACTAGGGCGAGCGCACATCCCGATCCAGACCCCGATCCAGAGCTCCGGATCAAGTCCCCGAATTCCGTTCCAGACCCCTCCGTTCCAGACCATCGAATGCAATACCTGAAAAGTGATGTTGAGCTGGGTGTCCGTTCCATA